TGTTTACTGAGACAGGGTCTCTCTGTAGCCTCAGCTGGCCTGGAACTCACTATGTAGACCAGGCTGGCCTTGTTCTCACAGAGGTCCGCCTGCCTCTGCCTCCCCAGTGCTGGGATTAAAGGTGTGCGCCACCACACCTGGTTTCCTGTTCCCATTTTACAGATCAGAAACAGTGAGGCTCAGGGTAAGCCAGGTATCTGCTGGAAAATGGCTAAGACAGGATGGAATCAGTGTTGAAGCCCTGGCCCCTTTGCCTGGACTCCCCTGACCACATCACCTCCCTCTCTGAGGCCCTTGCAGGTTAATGAGGGGTCCAGCTCATTCTTCCTCCCACAGATGTGGAGCGAGTGAGGAAGTAGCTCTGACTGGCTCAGCCCCACGCACTGTGCCCACCCCTCACCATCAGGGAAATCGGGGTGGCAGAGCTGCAGGTCCTTGCATGTACGGGCGGGGTTCTGCTGCGTGCCCAGGGGCCGCTTCATCTGCTCGATCTCCAGCTTCAGTGAGTTGAGGGAGCCGAAGATCTCCTCCATGCCGTCTGCATAGTCCGTATAGCTCTCCCCAGCCCCATCGTCCAGGAGCTGGCTGGCATCAATGTTCCTCCGTGTCCTGGATGCCTGGATTGGCAGGGGCTGGATGACTTCGCCTGGGGGGCCCTGGGGTGTGGAAAAGGGCAGTTGTGGGTGAGAGGAGCCTAGGACAGGGCGGCCAGACAGAGCCACAAGTCAGGCTCCCATGGGCTCTGTGTCCTGGGCTGAAAGGACAGCTGTTATCTCAGTGTTTTCTTTCCCCCTCCTGACTCCAGGAGGTTCTACAGGGTGCTTGCCTGGGCTGAGCACCTCCCCCATAAGCCCAAGGCTCCACCTCTCCTGCCTTCAGAAACAGAACCGGAAAGCAGCGGCTCAAGGCCCTGGACTTTGTTCTGTCCTTAGCTGAACTAAAGGCAGAGACGTGAGGAAGTGACAGAGCTTCCTCCTGTCTCTGTGGCCCCACCTGGGGCTGAACACAGCCAGTCATATAAGTGCCAGTTGGTGCACAGAATGGTCACTTCCAGGGGCCCTGCTAGGAGAGAATGTGAGTCCAGGGGGCTCACAGCACCCCAGCCACAGAGAGCTTCTCCCTGTGTCTCAGGACCCTTCCAGTGTCCTGAACACTGACAGGTGCATGCACACACATACATGAGATCACACACATATAGAACTCTACACACCCATATACACCTGTACATAATACACATGCATGGTCATACATATATGTACAATTCACATACAGAAGCATGTATACACACATGCACTCATACAAGACCACACATGTAGACATAATATACACATGAATACACATAGGACTACACATACCCATACACAACTACACATACTTATCAATGCAGATTCGCATGCTTATACATAGAACTACACACATCCACATGCACAAACATGCATGAGATCACACACATATAGAACTGCACACACCCATACATATCTACACATAATACACATGCATATTCATACACATATGTACAATTCATATAGAAGCATGTATACAAATATATACACTCACACAAGATCACACATGTAGACATAGTATACACATGCACGCATATAGAACTACACATACCCATACACATCCACACATGCATAGATATGCACATTCATATGCATATACATATCTAGAACTACACACATCTATACACACCTACACATACATACATATGCGTGAGCACACATGCATGTATGCATAATACACACATGTAAGCACACACTTTCACATGCATGCTTACACACACATATTTAAGCATCCATGCATGCATGCTCACATATGAATATACACATATCCACATCCATACACATAAAACATGACATGATTGCACATGTATATTCACACACATGCACAATACACACATACAAATACACATGCCCATACCTACATACGTGTTCACACTCATGTACACATACACATTTAGAAACATGCCAGCATGCTTACACATGCATGCTCACACACATACACAAGTGCAATACATATATAGAAATACATTTGTACACCTCTACATGAATATGTATATACATACATGCACACAATACATATTTAGAAATATACCTTCATGCTTACACATGAATGTTCACATACATATGCACAATATACACATAGAAATACACCCACACATTAGGCACATGTGCCATCATGAATGTCCATATATACATGCACAATACATATAAAAGCATGTGGACACATGCACACACATATAGAACTGCACATATCCACACACATCTGCACATTTGCACATGCATATTCACATGCACACATGCACAACATACATAGAAATATAGATACATGCATATGTTCATAAATACACTTGGCTATATATGCACAGTACCTATAAAAGGACACACACATATAGAAACGTACATACACATGTACACATTTATGCATGCATGTTCACCTACACACATCTGCACATGTACATGTGCATAGAAACACATATATACATGCATAAGCTCACATACAAACATTATATATGTATATGCACACAAGCAGAAACATACATACATTTGCACATGTGTATATGTGCATGTTCATACACATATATACACAGATGCACCCACCTGAAAATATACACATATAAATGTTTACACACATATGTACAAGACACACAAATGCATAAGCCCAAACATGCATAAATACATATATACATACATTTGCAGAAATGCACACAAGTATATTCACATAAAGTATAATGCACACATATTTACATACACGTATCCACATACATATATTGAACTGCACATGTGTAGGCAGCTATACACATACACATGTATGTTCACATACAAACACACACATAAACATGCACACAGACACAAATAGCTACACACATTAACATATACACATATAAATAACACACATGCACACCCATATCACACACACACACATGTGCATAAATCCCCTCCCTCTCTCTGGCCAGCAATCCTACCCAAGTCCAGTAAGCCCATATGACTCCTGGTCCCCTCTGCGTCCCCGGGGACCAGCCCCTGGGAATGTCTCATGAGCTTCACTGCATCTCAGATAGTAAACCCCGCACTCCCTCAGTCCCCTCCACACTGTGCAAACTACTTACAGGTGGGCCAGGGAGTCCTGGGTGGCCTGCCTCACCCTTCGGGCCGGTGGGACCCTGGGGAGAAAGCAAAGATGCAGCGCTTGGTCACGGCCCCTGGCCTGGCTGTTGCTTGATGGGCCCGCCAGCTCCAAAAGGCCAGGAGGCATGGCAGGCACAAAGTCAAGGCCCACAGGGCCTCTCTGCTTCTGAGACCAGGGAGGGAGCCGGGGCTGGCATCCTCCTCAGCAGGGAAGGAGCAGCCAGACGCCTTGGGCTGAGCCGGGCTGGGCTCCTTTAGAAAGACAGCCAGCAAACCGAGGGAGCCATGGGAAACCAAAGGACTCCATGCAACCCAGTCGGCTGGGTCATTATCAGACAGACAGAAGAGTACATGGTGCTGATGAGAAGAACCACGCTGCTGGCAGGGGTGTGAGCGAGCACAGCCCCTTTGGAAACAAAAACTAAACAGACTCACTACACAATCCTGCTACTCCACCTCTGGTTCCAGGACATGATCGGCCTGTCGCGGTGATACCTGCACAACCGTGCTAATTGCCGCACTGGCCGCAATAGCTAAGATTCGGGTCAGCCTATGCTAGATTGAGTGAACGGATAAAGAATGTGGATGATACACACAAAGGGGTATTACTCAGCAGTGAAGAAGAATGCCATCCTGTCCTGTGCACAGGGAGCACACATTAACAGAGTCACCAGAACCACTCTCTCCCTCATACATGGATGTTAACAGAAAGCAGAATGTGGGACACATAGAATGTTAATAGTTAATAGAAACTGGAGGATAGAACAGTGATCGTGAGAGGCTGGGAGAAGTGGGGGACGGGGATACGGGGCGGATGATGGCCACCAGACGTGGTTAGATGGAAAGAGTAAGAACCAGTGTTCTGGGAGGTGGGCTGCACCACCCACTAGCCTGTTACCCAGCGTTCTGTGGGGGGGGCTGCACCACCCACTAGCCTGTTATGCCTTATGACTAGAGAAAGGGGTTGGAGGGCTCAGACACAAAGTAACAATAAGGACATGAAAGACGCTAAGGCCCCGCTTTGATGGGGACATATGTACAAGTAGTGAAAAGCCACGTGTGCTCCCTAAGTGTGTGTGATTATTACATGTTAGCCCAAAGGTGCTGGGTGTGGTAGTGCGTGCCTTGAATCCCAGCACTCAGGAGGCAGAGACAGGTGGATGTCTGAAATCGAGGCCAGGCTGATCTGCACGATCAAATTCCAGGCTGGCTGGGGCTACGGGGAGGCTCCCTGCAAGAACGATGGCGACAACTGTAGCTAGAGGGGCTGCGTGTTGTCAACTTGATCGTCACCCCGACCCCAGAAATAACTACAATTAAATTGATACTTAGAAACAACCATAGTAGGGCAATACAGTTTTCGTTTTTCAAAGAAAATCTAGAGATACCAATAGCACATAATGTAACAAAAGTCTTAAGGAGAAAGGCAGAGCAGGGAGGGTCACCATGGGTCAGGACAGGGATCCTGGGTGACCCATCGGAGTCCCTGCAGACTCCTCCCCCACCTCCCTGCAATCTTAGGTGTCATGGGTCCCGCCAGGGCAGGGTCACTTACTGAAGAGCCTTTAGCACCTTTGGGACCTGGTGGACCCTGCAGAGAACAAAGGTCAGAATGTCAGTGGGCACACGGGCCTCAGGTTTCTGCTCCACCATCCCTTCCTAGGGCTATGCTGATGCCTGAGAGCCCGATCTCTATCTGCCCCACAAGGTGGCAGGAGAAGGGCTGCCCCTCACCTCCCCAGGAGGCAGAGGGTGTCTGCCCACGATGCTCAGTTGTGGAACAATACTCAGGCAGCCTCCCACGGAGAGGGTGCTAAATGGGCACCTGGGCTCCTAAGGGGCCTGGGAGGGGTCAGCAGCTGGGTGCCCACAGCCATGTGGGCCTAAGGCCTAGACAAGCTGAGAAGTAAGAGTGGGCAGGGTTCAGTGATGTAGGATTGGAGTGCTGGGTCTCTGATACAAGGGAGCCCCAAGCCGGGGTGCTGAAGAGAGCCCCCTCAATCTCAAGCCTGGACCACTATGAGAGCAAGAGCCAACACCACTGCCCTCCTGCTTCCCAGATACTTTCAGAAGGGTCTCCCCTCACCGGGGGACAAGGTGCTGAGATTTGTCCCTCCCTTCCTCCATCTGTTGACAAGGCAACCGGGTACCAGCAACCCGTACCCTGCTCCTGTCCCTTGGAACCTGTGTCAGGTTAGTGAACAAATCAACCCTGGGGGCCCACTTCACTAATTTCTCCTGGCTTCCCTGTGATTCTCCAGCCAGGCTCACCTACCTCCCTGCCCTCCCCGTACCCACTGGGGGACCCTGTACCCCTCCCAGATACACACCGGCAAGCCAGGGGGTCCCGGAGGCCCAATCGGGCCGGAAGGACCAGTGATGCCCTGGAACGGAAACACAGGTTATCAGGCTATTAGATGAGAAATGGAGGAAGGTAACTCCCGTGACCCCATCATGACTCACAGTTCCCTCACAGTCCCCTTCCTGAGGCTCGAGGCACCCCAGTGGTAGCTAGAGTCAGTTACTGTGTGACACCACCCCATAGCAGAGTACACTGTGAAGGCCATGTCTCCCTGTTGAGCTGGGCAGTTCATCTGAATATCAGCTACAGGGTGAAGTCCCCAGGCCCCACCCCCATGTCCAGGCAGAAAGAAACTGCATTAAGACACCCCTTTCTACGGGCTTCTGGAACTCAGAAAAGATCACTCTAACCCCCTGCCCATCTTGGCTACCTGACTGATGTCAGGTATCACCACTAGAACATGCTAGGGCAGGGGGTGAGGGAAGACAGTGAGTGTCCTGGAGTCTAGTCTGTCTGGCCATGGCTGACAGCTCAGCTTGACAGAGAAGACAGTGTCTCTCCCTCCAACATCAGCTTGCGAGGGCCTGGGCCTCAGTTCCCTAAGGGGTCCTACTTTTCTCAAGTCTGCACCCTGGAGGCACCATAGCAACGGAGCCAAGACAATGGTTTGTGGGGAGGTCAGGCGGTGAGCCCCCTGAACAGAGCCACACTTGTCTAATAGTCCACTGAGGCCTGGGGACACTGGGCAGTCAGAAAGCTGCCCACAGAACAGTGGTGGAGGCAGGGCTCCAAGCGGCCTCATCCATGTCCTTCCAATACGGCCCCAGGAGGACCTGCTCCTCTTTCCCCAGCCTCCGGGAGCTCCTGCCACCCGTGCTCTGTCCCCCACATCCCGCCATCTTTAGAGTCAGGTCTGGGTGGGGGTGTGCAGAGATCCCTCAACATGAGTGCCATCATACTGCGGGTATAAAGTAGGGATTCTGACTGCAATGAATTTCCCACGCAAAGACACACGTGCTCTCTCTTCTACATAAACTACCTCTCTTTCAGGTCAGAAGTCTTCACCCCCCTGAAGCCACACTCACGTGGCTCAGAGCTACAGGGTGCAGCACACTCCAGACAGGGCTTCCTGCAGAACAGCTCACCGAGGCCCACACTAACTAGCCACAGTGGCATCCAGGGAAGCCTGGGGTCAGATGTGGGCAGATGGAAGCAAGGGGGCTATGGCTGCCCCTCTAGGCACTGGACACGGCTGATCCACCAGCAACCTCCTGCCCAGCGAGCTGGATCAGAGGCTGTTGCATGGAAGCAGGAAGGGATGAGAGGTTTGACTGCTAAGATCCTCTGGTTCTGAAGGGAATCACAGTGACAAAGAAAGGACTTCTGCCTGTAACCACAACCTGGGCTGGGAGATAGCTCTGTCCAGTGCTGCGGGGAGCCACGTGAGTCCAGGCTACTGTTCCCGTCTACAAAGCTGGGTATGTGCTTCCATGGGGATGAGATGAGGGCCTGCTGGCTCTATGGAGAGTGAGATGTGCCAGGGCTATCACCACACACACCTGTTCTCCCTTGGGACCAGATGAGCCCTGGGGGCCTGGGAGACCTCGGTCTCCCTTTTCACCCTGTTCGCCTGGAGGTCCAATGAGTCCAATCAGGCCTGGATGACCCTGTTGAAAAACGAAGGGGTAAGTATCGATTCTCGTTGCCAGCGCTGAGTCCCTCCCAGTGGGCCAGGTGACCTGGCGGCACAGACACGCCACACATCCTGGGTCATCAGTCAACATGTCCAGGAGTAGACACAAGCTAAACACAGACCAGTGACAGGCCAGGTCACATGGTTCCTTGCTGGTAAACAACACATCTGAAGAAAGAGAGAGAGAGAGCAGGGGTGTGGCTCAATAGAAAGGCATTCACCTACCATGTGCAAGGCCCTGGGTCTGATTCCCCACCACTGAACCCCAGAGACTACAAAAAGAAGCACACGGGGCACCCAGGCCCAGGGACCCCCAAGATTTCCCTGAGGGAACAGTGTGTGCCTATCTTCGTACTTAACGCAGTTTCTGATTTTCTACGCTAAGCCTTTTCTTACAAGGAGCTAAAACAAAGTCTCTGCCTCACACAGGTTGGACGCGGCAAGAACCGAAGACACTGTATTCATCTGATCGTCTTTCAAGACAAACATCCACCGTTATCTGCCTTATACATTTTTTGGTTCCACATGAACTTCTAGAATGTTCTGGAAGGACTCCCAGCTTCCATTTGATTGGTGAGGGACGTCAAGTGGAAAAGAATATCCTTTTCTGTGTACAGCTGTTCACCTTGTGAGCTCGGTCTATTTACAAATAGATCCACATAAGTAGGAAAACGTCAGCATCGGCTAGCGAGGCCATGAGGACCTGCCCTGCCTGCAGCGTCCCACACATTCCGGGGGAAAGTGGTAAGCCAGGGTTCAGAGCCAACGTCTGCCCCTGACCCTGGACACCCTTTATCTAGGACTTCCGCCTGGATAGTGCAAGGTTCTGGTCAATTCTGGGGGTCTCAGGGGCTCCCTGCATGCAGATACGAGTCTCAAAGCCCTGCCTGGTTTCCCCTTTGTCCCTCCCCTTCCAGGGTTCCATGACAACCACAGTGGGCCCTCAGCAGTGGGGCTGATCACTTCCTGTGATTAAGTCAAAGATGTCATTACCACAGTGTCAGAGCCCCTAAGTCTCAGCTCACCTTTTCACCTTTGGGACCAGAGTCACCTTTGAGGCCAGGGAGTCCTGGGGGACCCTGTAGGAGAAGACAGAGGAGTCAGTGCCTGTATCCCAGTAGTTTCCAGACACCCTCCTCCCCAACTGATGTAGCATGTCACATGTCACTCACCATGGGGCCGGGTGGACCATCGGGACCTGGGGAACCTGGAAGGCCTTGTTCACCCTGAAACACACAGTCCCTCGATATGAGCCTGGGCCCCCATCAGCAGCCCCTATCCCCATCCCAGACCTGCTGGATCACTCACCACTGGGCCAGGGATCCCACGTAGTCCATCAGGCCCGGGCTTCCCAGGGGCCCCTTGGGGTCCAATGGGGCCAGTCTTCCCAGGAGGGCCCTCTAAGCCAGCTTCTCCCTGCAGAGGAAGGTATGGGTGGTTAGAAGTTTGAGGCACCTAGCCCAGGACCCCTGCTTAGAACTTGGGTGCTGCGGAGATGCCCCTACGTGTCCTGGGCAGTGCCTTCCACCTTCCCACGGAAGCTGCATCAGCTGAGCTCCATCCTGCTGATTTCCAAAGGCAATGGTCTCCTAACTACCACTGACCATGCTAACTACCACAGTGATGGATCAGGTGTGGGGACACACAGCACCCAGCCTCACTGAGTCTCCAGAGAAAAATGGGAAATGCTGCCCTCCAGGACCGTGTGTCACCACACTGTGACAGTTGGCTGGGTGTTCTAGTGCTGAGAACGTGCAGACTTTTCAAGTGACGGCCATCCGAGCCTCCTAAGGCCCTACCTACTTCTCCGTTGTAGGTCAAGAGCTGGGTGTGGCCTCACCCCGGCCTCCCTCTGCCTCAGTTGCCCCTCTGCCCTCAGCCTTCCACACACCACCGCCCCCCTCCTTCTGGCCTACAATGGTCACAGCCACCGGGGTAACTTACCTTGGCTCCTTTCTCCCCTTGCCTGCCCTCGGGGCCTGCGGGGCCTGGGGGACCCTAGGAAAGCGAAATAACAGCTGAGACCTAAGCTCTGAATATGGAGACCAGGCCCAGACGCCACAGAGGGCTGCGGGGGTGAGGCTACCCTGGGCCACTGGCCAGCATGGACACAGGCCCTCATCAGGAGTCCTAGGACTCCAAGTAGAGGCAAGGCCTCTGGTGGACCTCGGGGGGGGGGGGTGTTCTAGATGCCCTGTGTGAAGAAAGCCCTACCTGGCTGTGTACACTCTGGCTTGACTGCCCCAGCCCCAGCACCCCACTAGAGCCTCCAATACAGATGTCTGTTCTTTATCCCGACTCTCCTCTGTTCAGAGGGTCTGGCCCAGGGACAAGGAGGATCCAGCTATGGGTGGCTTTCTCCAACGATGGCATAACTGACATTAGTCCAGGGTCTTTCTCTGAAGTCCAGTCTGGCCTTGAACTCATTACGTAAACCAGGGTATCCCAGAAGCTGCAGCCATGTCTCCCTATAGGTCTGTGATCTGATGAGTGTTCTCCACACTTCAGACACCCTTGTGCCCCCCTTGGGGCCACTTGCGGCACTCGGGGCCAACGAGGGGTGAGAGGCTTTGTGCAGGAAACCAACAGCAAGGGGGGCCCCCGGAATGACTCACTCTCTTTCCTGGAGGCCCAGATGGACCCGGTTCACCAGTAGGGCCAGGGGATCCCTAGTTGGAAGAAAGAGCACGGAGCATTATAGATGTGGCAGCTCAGGACCCAGGCTGTGCTGCCCACAGCCCAGGAAACACACAGAGAGTCTGTTCTTTCCACAGCTCTGCACGGCCTCCTGTCTGGTGTGAGCACAACAAGCCCCCACTGAACTCCCTGCGGACCTCAACCCTGTGCCCTGCAGCGCCTCTCAGGAGTCTGACTTGTATCCTGGGATTGATGTATCTTGAGAGAGGACTTTGCCCTGAGGCATGTCCACGCCTAACACACAGGGTCCCAGGTCTCATCTGCTCCTCGGAGCTCCTGAGTGCTGGCCACAGTCAAGAGGGGCCTGGGTTTGGGCTTCTCTTGGAAATGAACCTGTAAAGACCCAAGAACGCAAGGATGCCCCCACTAGGAAGCTATCGAACTGCACGCTCACCGTCTGCCCAGGTTCACCGTCATCCCCTTTGTCACCCGGCGGACCATCTTGACCCTATGGGAACAAGCAAGTTGCTTTTACCACTTGGACCCTACAGCCCCAGTATATCCTCAGATGCTTCCCTGAACCCAAATGCACCGCAAGGTGGGAACCAGAACAGACACGCCCTGGAGGGGTGCCGCACCCAGAGAACCCAGAAGGGAAGAGGATACTGGGGGGCTAGCGAGGGTGGCAGGGATGGGGAGTACACTTACCGCGGGGCCTGGCTCTCCAGGGGGACCGGGGTCTCCAGGAAAGCCCACAGGGCCCTGAGAAAAAGAGAGAGGCAAGTCCAGGCCATTAGCAACCCGGCACATCCTGCTTGGCCCACTAACAACCCAGGTACCAGAACATGGAGCAGGCCTGATACCTCATGCACTTTAGAGGGGCCCTATTATGCAGGGTCTGCACAGCACCAAGCCCACCCAGAGGGGCAGTGGCCTCTCCTTTTGAGATGAATGAGGACAAGCGTCCTCCCTGCACATTCACTCTGGAGGCCCCAGGCTGGGACTAGAGCCCAGACCTTCAACTTCTGACGCGAAGTCGGGACACCAGCAGGGGAAGTGGCTGCAGCCTGAACCTGGAGACATTTCATCTGGAGCCTCTACTGGCTGCCGTCCATGCCACTCCTCCCTCAGTCCTCCCTGGTCATCTCTATCCATCCATAGCTTGGGTGGAAACTTCTAGACAAAATTACCCCAAGACAGCAGCATCCACATGGCTGTTCTGGAGCAGGGTAGATACACTGCAGGCCCTGCAGGGACCCAGAATGCTCTGTGTGTGGGAAACCCTCCCAGAAGCCATACAACCAGCACTACTTACAGGGCTGCCTTTGGGGCCGTCATCTCCAGGGGGGCCTTTGGGTCCAGGGGGTCCAGCAGCACCCGAGGGGCCAGCCTCACCCTTCTCCCCTCTTTCTCCTTTGGGTCCCTGGAGGGGAAGAGGCCAGGGTTCGGTTCTTAGAGCCCGCTGTGTGCTCTTGCCTGCAGTGGGGCCTCCCTGGGACTCATCACTGGACTGATAGCAGGCAGTGAAGTCTGCATTGTGTGCCACCACCCCCACAATTCTCAGGCGCGGGAAGCAGCGGGAAGCTGGAACACCTCAGTCTCTCCAGGTGCTTCCTGGGCCCAAAGCCACTCTTGGGGTGGCCTCTCAGTGACTGTGCCCAACCTTTGGAGGCCTGGCCATTCTCAGGCTGGAATTATGGAGTAACAGGGTGACAAGAGTCACTCACAGCAGCCTGTGAAAGGCCCTGGGTGTCGCAGATGGCAGTTACTGGCAGCCATGGGTGTGGGGTCGTTGTAGAGGTCTGCACATGTATACATGTGCGTTCCCTCCCTGCACACACCCATGCACACAAGCTCAGCCCCCCACCCATTCCTTTTTACTGTTGTTAAGCTGTTGTGCCTTCACAGTAAGGTCACAACTCCCATTTCATGGAAGGGCAACTGAGGCAGGGATGGAGCATCCTATCCTGTGCCTTGTCTGAGTTCCCATTGGACACATCCCACCCCTCCTCCAGACCCACACTCACCAGGGGGCCCCCTTCTCCTGGAAGGCCAGGCTCACCAGCTTCACCGGGCTCCCCCTGAGGAGACAAGGCAGAGTGTCACAGGAAGCTTCCTTCCGTGACAGTGACAGTCGCAGTGGCAGGTGTAGATGCCAGAGCCTGCCCGATTCTGCCTGCCTGTCATCAGGCACCCAGCACCCAGGACTCAATGGGACCAGATCTGCCTCTAGATGGCTCACAGGACAGCAGCATGAAGCCAGTGAGGAATGTGACCCTGAGTGAGGGGCGGCATTGTAAGATGTAGGTGACAGTGGGCAGGGGCCAGGGGAGCTGTGCAGATCCAAGGGACACAACCTGAAGGTTGTCCCTGGTGGATGCCCAGCAGGCTGGAGAATCAGGAGCTGCTCAATAAGAGGGTGTGTGTGTGTGTGTGTGTGTGTGTGTGTGTGTGTGTGTGTGATGGTTACTCTTTATAACAACTTGACTGGAGTCAGAATCATCATGGAAACAAACATCTGCGTGCATCTGTGAGACGGTATTTCCAAAGAAATTTAACAGAGGAGGGAGGAACCTGGAGTGGGCGGCACTGTCCGTGCTCCCTCCCTGAACAAGCCCTGTGACCAGCTGCTTCACACTCCTGCCTCCCCTTTGCTGCATCACCGAACAAACCCCTTGTCCTCTAAGCTGCTTTTGTCAAGTATGTTGTCACAACAATGAGAAAAGAATCACAGGAGGCAAAGCAGAGCAGAGGCAGGGCGTCACGTGGTGCTCTACGCTCTAAGTCACGTGGTGCTGGTGCTCTACGCTCTGGATGGTGGTGCTGAGATGGCTGGGAAGGGCCTGTGAGGTGTCAGAGGCTAATGGTGAAGCACTGAGCAATGAGAAAAGAATCACAGGAGGCAAAGCAGAGCAGAGGCAGGGCGTCACGGGGTGCTCTACGCTCTAAGTCACGTGGTGCTCTACGCTCTGGATGGTGGTGCTGAGATGGCCGGGAAGGGCCTGTGAGGTGTCAGAGGCTAATGGTGAAGCACTGAGGGCAGGCGGGAGCAGGGGGAGGCAGCAGAGCCTCTATCCCACCGCGTCTCTCTTCCCTCTCTTAAAACGCTCCATCCTGCTTACTGGACTGTATCAGAAAGCAAGCCCTGGAAAGGGTGGGCCAGGAGCTCCAGGGTGTGTCCTGGCTTGCATCTCCCTGAAGCCCAAATGGCCTCCTTAGGCCTTGCACGCTCCCCAGCACCCTGTGGAGCTGAGTCTCACCGTGACACAGTGTGCACACAAGTACTCACAGGCACACACTTGGGCTCTCCTTGCTCACTCAGTCATTTCAAGGACCTGGTCCTAAAGTCAACCAAATGCAACGATGAGGCCCTGGCTGTGAGGAAGTGGGGCTGACAGAGGCGGCCATTGCAAGCTCAGTCTGGAGGGAGGGAGGGTGACTTTCACCAGGGCTGAGTCAGGGGTGGGGAGAGGCTTGAGAGGATGGGTACATTTTTGCTTTAAAGTTCTGCAAACAGATGTTACAAATGAACATGTCAGAGCTCCCAACCCAGAGAGGAACCTTTTTCTAATTTACAAATGACATTTGTGAGGACCCATAAAGAAGGAACACCTCAGTTTCCTCTCCTGCTAGTCTGATTAGCTTCATACTCTAGCAAAGATTGTTTTACAGGAGGATGGATAAATAATAACAAGACAAGCTCCAGCTACCAAGTCCATTAACATCTGGTCACCTCTGTGTACCTACTCACAACTTGCACATTTTACATCCAGAGTTTACATATGCATGTTCCACAGGGCCCTAAATTCACGTTTGGGCACAAAAATAGACAATGGCACATCCAAATGTGTACATGTAGGGAGGCACAGGTTCTCAGTCCAGGCTCCCCATGGACACACATGGATGAGGATGTGTATGCACATAGGTATGCTCTAAGATACATACATGAACATACACAAGGGCTATACATAGGCACACGTGCCCAACATGGACACATGCTTGCATACAGACACACAGGCATGCACAGATGCACATACAGACATACACAGATGCACACACACAGGTATGCACAGATGCACATACAGACATACACAGGTGCACACACAGGCATACACACAGGCATACACAGGTGCACACAGGCATACACAGGTGCACACACAGGTATACACAGATGCGCACACAGGCATACACAGATGCACACACAGGCATACACAGGTGCACACAGGCATACACAGGTGCACACAGGCATACACAGGTGCACACAGGCATACACAGGTGCACACAGGCATACACAGGTGCACACAGGCATACACAGGTGCACACAGGCATACACAGGTGCACACAGGCATACACAGGTGCACACAGGCATACACAGGTGCACACAGGCATACACAGGTGCACACAGGCATACACAGGTGCACACAGGCATACACAGGTGCACACAGGCATACACAGGTGCACACAGGCATACACAGGTGCACACAGGCATACACAGGTGCACACACAGGCATACACAGGTGCACACACAGGCATACACAGATGCACACACAGGTATACACAGATGCACACACAGGAGATGCACACACAGGCATACACAGGTGCACACACAGACACACACAGATGCACAACACACACAGCATACACAGGTGCACACAGGCATACACAGGTGCACACACAGGCATACACAGATGCACACACAGACATACACAGATGCACACACAGACATACACAGATGCACACACAGGCATACATAGATGCACACACAGGCATACACAGATGCACACACAGGCATACACAGATGCACACACAGGTATACACAGGTGCACACACAGACATACACAGATGCACACACAGACATACACAGGTGCACACACAGGCATACACAGATGCGCACACAGGCATACACAGGTGCACACACAGATGCACACACGGTTATACACAGGTGCACACATATGCATACACGGGCACGTGAGCGCACAGACATCACCTTCTCTCCCACTGCTCCGGGGTTTCCAATTCCTCCAGGAGGACCCTGCGGCCCATCAGCACCTGGCGCTCCAGAGGGTCCTCGGGGGCCTGGGGGACCAGGGGGGCCCTGGGAGGAAGAAAAGTCATTGAGCCAGGACGACATGCAAACAGCCCCTCAAACATAAAGCAGATGCCATGCCAGGTCTCGGGGGCCCAACCACTCACCATCTGGCCCACGTCTCCTGTCTCACCCTTTTCTCCTGGAGGTCCTGGCAAACCCTGTGGATGGGAAAGTGTGGTGAGGTGCTGCTCTGTGCAAGACACACACGGTTCCTGTGAGTCCCACCACCCAAAGCCTCCGGAAGACCCTGCAGTGCATTTGCCCGGGTCTGCCCACACGTGAGGCTGCACTGTGCTACCAGGGCTCAAACAGCAGAGGACACAATCAGAGGGAGAATGCTAAGATTTATGGACCACGGCACTTACAGCGGCTTCTCATAAAACAATAAACCTAATGAGCCAACAACAGGGAAGCTTCCAGATAAATCGTGGCCCCACCATATGCCGAAATAACATGCAGTAACTAAAAATCGTGTTTTCTGAAGTCAAGTCATGTGTCCACCGAATATTTAATGACACTCAACGTGGCCCATCACATAAAACAAAGAAGCTGGTGCTTGGGGTTTTTGCAGATGCCCAGCAGGGACACGTGGGTGGAAACAGCTACACGCAGAGGGCCTGGAAGGAGGTGTGTGGGGCGACAGCTGTCACTTTCAGACAGCAGGTTCAGAAGGGGACTCTGTGTTCCATTCTCATAATTGGTCCCCATTTCCAAGGTTTTCACAGCAAACATGAAAGTGGCTGTGACCAGGTAAGAGCAGTAAATGTGTGTGTCTGGACTTCTAGGAACTAACAGCACTTCTGATTTCTGTCACCAGGCCTCAGTTTCCCCTTAAAAAGACAGGAGCAGTGGGCCCAGCAAGACACTGACATCCCCACCACAGCCCTGGAAATCTCTGTGGTTACCTGTAGCCCCACTGGCCCCGGTGGTCCTGGGAAACCTCTAGAACCTTCATCTCCTTTCTGCCCAAACAGGCCCTGCTGGCCACGAGGGCCTGGCTCTCCGTCTGCTCCCTGGAGGAAGGAAGGGACCATGGATGAGGCTGAACAACAGCCTGAGAGGTGGGTCTTGCTAGGTCATTGGCCCAAGATACTCACTGAGGGGCCTGGCTGTCCGATGGGGCCTTGAGGACCTGTAGGTCCAGGAGGACCCTGTGGGGAGCAAACAGAGACATGGACGAGTCTAAGGATGAGTGAGCTCTGTCTCCAGAAGAGGCTGGTTGAGGCAGGGTTGGGAACATACAAGGTCAGTCCCTAAATGTGCCAGGACCCTGGAGGCCATCTCGGAGCCCCACAGGACCCTGGAGGCCATCTCGGCCAGCTGGGAACAGCTGGGCCAGCTCAGTCCCTGGGAACATCATGGCACAGGCCAGGCTAAAGGCTCTGGGAAATGTATAAGGCTCTTGATTCAACTTTAATCATGGCACTGTGGATAACAGAAACAGTAAAGCAGGCCACTGTGTGTCCTCTCAGCTCCCACCACACCTCCCCTCTGACCCGAGTGAACCCCTCCAATGACAAGAATCGATCAGACAGTTCCTATGTGTTGAACTGCACAGGGACTCCATCACGACCCTCTGCTCCCAAGCCATCATCATGAACACAGGATGGAGAGAAAGTCAACAGGAACAGAGTCCCTGTCCTCAGAGAGCTGGAGGCCTACAGAGAAGCCTGATGACATCACTCCAGGGAAAGGCGGGGCTGTGCAAATAGTGAGGCGGGGGCCCATGACACTCCAGGAGGTTGGTGTTGATGACAGGGCTATCAATACCTCAACACTTCTGAGCATGTGAAAAACCAAGGGACAAACGGATGGGCTGGCTATGCAGAGCTCCGCGTTCCTGGGTGATGGGTGTCAAGGCAGTCACACTCCACCTGTTCCACCTCTCCAACTGCTCACGTGACTGCGTGTTCTCAAGCCAAGAGATTCTCTCGCAAATTCTCTCTCTCTCTCTCTCTCTCTCTCTCTCTCTCACACACACACACACACACACACGCACGCACGCACACACGCACACGCACGCACACACGCACACGCAAGTACACACATGGGATAGTCCCAGGAAAGAAACCCAACAGGCATGACCCAGCACTTTGCACCCACTGGCCGTCCACGCACACGTAAACTCTTACCTGTTCACCTTTATCCCCCTTGCTTCCTTTCTGCCCTGGCTCCCCGATCTCTCCCTGGAGAAACACAAGAAACATGCTGTTAGCTCGGCGGCCTGTGCCTCTCTCAGTCCCCACAATCAGGTTTTTCTTAGAGATTAACAACAGTTGCTCTCCAGATGACCCTAAGACTGACCAATGAAGAAGCATTTCCTTTTATTACTATTATTATTATTATTACTATTATTATTATTGTCATTATTGAGATTTTCAGCAGCCTAGAACCTGCCACCTAGGCACAGCTGGACCTCTGTATGTCCACCCGCCAGCGCTGGGGTTACTGACAGACACCACCACGTCTGCCTTTTGTTTTCAAAAATTATTTTAAGAGTATGAGTGTTCTTGCATGTATGTAAATGCACTGCATGCGTGCAATGCCTGTAGAGGCCAGCAGAGAATGTTGGATCCCCTGGAACCGGAGTTTAGACAGTCGTGAGCTGCTAAGTGGGTGCCGGGAACCAAATCCCAGTCCTCTGCAAATGTAGCCAGTGCTCTTAACTGCGGAGGCACCTCTCCAGCCCCATGTCTGGCTTTTTCAGTGTGGGTTTGGGGGACTGAACTCACGTCCTCGTGCTTGCAAAGTGAGCACCTTAATGACTAGGCTATATCCCCAGCCCCTTGATTTCCTATGTGATACAAGGGATATTGATCTGATGCCACAGGGGATATTAGTGAGCGGGGTGACGTGGTGGAGTCTGCCATTTTCTCCCGTGTTCCTGTTGGAGCAGAGCTGCCTCCCAGCTTGAGACATGGGATGCCCTTTACACAGAGGTGACAAAGTTGGGAATGTCACCAGACAGTTGAGACAAAGTGGAGCCGAAGAGCTAAGCCTCACTGTCTTCGCTTAATGAAGTCTAAAATCCAGGCTCCTCAGTAACCGCATCAGAAATAGCAATAAAAACAGAGCCTCAATCATTCAAGGGAAGACGCTTAAAAATAGACATGGAGTAAAATCTCATTGGATCCGGCCCTAGACATTTCCCATCTGAAATGGCTCAGAGGGGAGCAGGGAGCAATCTCCTTCACTCTGGCTATGAAGTGCAAATGTCTCAGGCAACTAAAAGCTGCTGAAGAGCCGAGTGCTTCTACGCTCCCCATGCGCGCCACGTTCATTGCCCTCTATTTGTGTGCTACTTAGAAAGCATCTCCTCATGCCAGGTCTGCAGGGCCCAGGGCAGCTCTCCGACGGAGCCCTCTGCATCACACACCCTGCTGTTTTAAATGCCACCCTCGCACTCACCGCCTGCCTGGCTATGCATGCCTCACCTTCTTACCTTATCTCCGTCTTCTCCAGGAGGGCCTACGGGGCCAGCCGGACCGGGGAGCCCCACAGGACCCTGGAGGCCATCTCGGCCAGCTGGGCCTTGGGGGCCTTTCTCACCCTGGGAAGGACAGGAGATCCTGATCCAATACAGCTCTATCGTAGGAACACCCCACTACCAGCTGCTCACCCCGGAGAGGCCCAGGGTGGGAAGACAGAGTGTAGGACAGAGGTCACCACCACAGTCCCAAGGGCTGTCACCCAGGGGCATGGCAGCTGACTTGGGCCAGTGCTGGATTGAGTGGCTGACACACTGCTGCACTTGAGTTACTCGCCTCCTAGAAGAGCTGCTCTTTGGAGATGAGGAAACGGAGGCAGTTATTTAGCATTGTGGTTAGAATGTGACATGGTGAGGGTTTGGACCAAGCCGGTGGTGGAGGAGGAGGGTGGGGAGGTGGTGGAAATTTCAGAAGGCGGGACCTACTTAAAGAGAGTAGGCCCCGGGAGTGTGCCCTGGACAAAGACTCATCTTGCCCTCCCTGCTTCCTAGCTGCCATAGGGTGAGCTCCACCCCAGCACGTCCTCCCGCATGATGCTCTACCTCATCACAACCTCACAAAAATGGAGTCAGTCAGTCATGAACTGAAGCTTCTAACACCATAAACCAAAACAAACTCTTTCTCCTTTATTTCCCTCGGGCATTTCTCAAAGTGCCAGAAATCTGATTAACACAGTGAGCATAAGTCCCTGAGCCTGGGTGGGCTCCTTCAAGCTGGTGAGCAGGGGCTACTCAGGATGGCCCAAGTCCTAGCTTCTGCAAACTTTGTTACACTGTCAATTCTTTGCAAATACCTTGCCTCTGCACACAGGGATATGCATGCACGCATTACACAGGGCACAAGCACGCATACAGATATGCATGCACACACAAGACATGCTTGCACATACATGTACACACAGAAGTAAGCACACAGGCACGCATGCTTACAAGCATGCTCACAACCAGGATATTCACAGGCGTGCTGCACATGTACACATGAATGCATGGAGACATGCACTCATGCATGCACACACGGCATCTATACACCATGACATGCGTGCATACCCATGTACTTATAGAGTTGTGCTCACAGACACACAGACCAAACCCTTATCTCTTCTTCCTTCATAACTTTGGTTGCTTTCTTTCTAACTGTCCCCTGGCAATCTCCAATGATCCTCACAAACTCTTGCTATGCTGTTTTACTGCCGTCCCATCACCCACGCTCAACATGCATTTTCTCACCTCAGCTAGGAATCCCATTCTTCCAGTGACACAAAGAGGGTGCATGCACGGGAGGGGGCACAGATGAAAGAACGCACACCTGATGCCTGAGGTTAGCCCATCCTGTCCTTCCCACACCTCACCCCCTACTCTTCAAAGTTAGCTCGATGGATAGAAACACCCACCCTTCCTGAGCTAGAAAGTGCTCTGCCAGGTGCAGGGCGTGTGTGGCTTCCCTCCCTGAATTCCTGGTCAGGTCACTAGTTTGTGGAGACCCCTGACTTTTCCCTCTTGCTGGAGCTATCCAGACAGTGAGCTTTTCCCTGTACAGGACAGCTCTTACAAGGTGTTTGCTTAAATATTGACTCTCTGGAAACAGACAATCATCTCTAGTTGAGTTTCTGAATTCCACATGTCCTGAATGCCCAAGGGCCTCTGTGTTCCACACAAAATCCAGCCAGATCCTGTGTGGCTGCATAAATGACACAATGCCATCAAATTGTCAAAAACATGTTACGTCCCAACACGGTCTGAACGGGGACCTCACACTCAAGAAGGAGCTGGATGCTCTTCCTCCTTGTGAGCCTCAGAGGGCAGGGTATCGGTGTCTTGTTAGCACAAGTCAGTGGGCACACGTGTCTAGCTCCGCACCCATCCCTACTGAGGCTCATTCTGGCACTCTGAGCTGAGATAGGAAAGCTGGACTGAAATCTACCTCCACGCCATGGCAAAGTAGGAGTGGTGGGAGGGCACAGAGCGGCATGGCCAGGCCAGTGGCTTCTTCCCTCCTGCTCTCCCCAGCCAACAAAGGGATCGCCCATTCCCAAATACTCATCTCTTTTCTGAAAGGCTGCAGGGTGGAGGCCGGTGGGAAAGGGATGCTCAGCAGGCAGTGTGGCCCAGACACACATGAGGCCCGGAGGCTAGACAGAGGACAGGTCTGCCTGCAGACCCTCTCCAGTCTTGTGACATCAGCACGTGGGGCTGGCCAGACTGAGTTGGCTGAGACTCCTCTATAGGATAATCAGACTTTGCCTCCTCCTCTCAACCCCCAGGGAAATGACCATGGAGACACCACAGCAGGAGGTTGGATGACTCCAAAGCTGGGAAGAGACCCTGGTATTAGATGGTACTTACAGGAGCTCCTTTCTCTCCAGCTGGCCCTGGAGGTCCCTGAGGCCCAGGTCTCCCAGGAATTCCGATGGGCCCAGCAGCACCAGCTGGTCCTCTCTCCCCTGGAGAGCCCTAAGGTGCAGCAAGAAAACGGCTCCCTTCAGAGGCTCTTTGACTGCCATGGGTAAGACTCCCTAAAGTGCCGTATGTCATCCCCTCTTCCCTCACTCTAGAGCCCTCAGTGGCTCCCAATGACCCTTTGCAAGCAATATATGGTCTAGTATTTGAGGCTGGGCCAGCAGGCCTCTTCTTAGTCTTCTTCTTCTGTAATTCCATCTCACACATGTCCTCTCCCCCTACGAATATCTGGGATAAGTCTTTCTTTCTGTCTGCCTTGAATGGTCTCTTCCAGGTGCCTGGCATGGACCCACTCCTTTAGAGTCTGCCTGCCCGCAAAGTACTCATGGATTTAGAGGGGGAGGCCCTGACCCAGGGGCAGGCACTGATGGTGGCAGGTACCCAGGCTAAGCTTGGGGTCACATCAAGAGGCCAACACAGCCTGCAGGTCCTCCACCCACCGTATCAGAAGGGAAGGCTAGCTTCTTACCCCATCTGACTGTCTGTCACCTCACACATGTCTGGAACTCAGCTAGGGGAGGCAGCAAGCTCGGAGGCCACTCCAAACCTGGCTGGTCTGTGCACCTGATCAGAGCTATTAGGCCCACTTGAATGGCAGAAAAAGCAAATAGAATATATCCACACGGGAGGAACAGCCTCAGACACCCCAAGCCCACCTGGGCCCAGCTAAGGGTCTGGGAATCTGGGGCCCTGAGGTTGGGAGGGGCTCAACATATTAGAGCCCCTGGACCAGAGGCTAAGAACAGACCCTCTGCCTGCACCAGTGGCCCGCCCTATTCTAGGACTCATCCCCAGAGTCCATGAGAGGTGTGTGTATCCACTCTTCCTTGCTGGCCCAGGATAGGCTCATGCCAACTGTGGGGCGTCCTCCTCGCCCCCAAGGCCAGACCAGTCACTCAGCTTGAAGCTGCCAATCCATCACCCCGGCCACCAGCTCAGAGGCACTGTCCGCACCCTTGTACCCCACTCTGTCCTGAGACACTTAGTGGGGACCTGGGCAGCCAGGCATATTCTCGCAGCTCTTGGAAACAGTTTGTTTTACCTCAGAACAAGTCTGAGGAAGAGGGTAGGACAGAAGGCTTTGACTCACCGCGGGGCCTGGGGGGCCAGGGGGCCCTTCGCTGCCTTTCAGGCCAAGTGCTCCCTGCAGAGTAGTGAGAATGTGGGTCAATGGTACCCAGAGGGAGCCCCTGGGCGGTGCACCATGCCACTGCACCCACCTGGCCCCTCACTCACCACAGGGCCGGGGAGCCCTCGGTCCCCTGGGAAGCCACGCAGTCCTGGAGGGCCGTCCTTGCCGGGGAGACCAGCAGGGCCTGGATCACCCTGAAAACAGAGGCAGAGATGAATTTACCTGGCAATACCAACTACCGATTTCCCACCAGTCTCCAGGACCCCAGGATCTGTGTCCTGGGAGCAGGGTGAGGCTTTTGTGTCAAAATCTACCGGGGATCTGGGTTGACCTGGGTTTCCTCTGGCTCCTTGATCTTTAAAGGAATTCCTTGGGCCTGGTTTGGTTTTGTTTGGGAGGCTATAGATGGAAACCAGGCCCTGGCACAGGCTGAGTGCCACTCCACCCCTCTGTGGATTGAGCTCAGTCCCTGCACATACCTGACTCACATTATCCAGGCCGCTCTATGTGTGGATCTGGGGAAAGGGCTTCCTCCCCGCTCCCCCTTCCTGTACTCCATCAGGGCCCAGCCCTGCAAAGTCCTACAGGGCCACAGGGGTTTGGAGGCAGCCAGAGTGATACCGACTTTTTCCATGTATCTAGGACTCCTCAGTGGGACCGTGCTTAACCAGGGGAACCCCAACTGCACGTGTTTAAAAGTGCAGCCATTTAAAGAGCTTGCTGCCAGCCTGGTGTCCACTTCTTAAAAAGATGCAGCACTGGGCTTACCCTCCTCAACAATACTAAAACTAGAATCTTCCCTGGTCTCCACATGGGAGCACAAGAGTCCCCAGCCCAGAAAGCCAGTGCAATCGGTTTCCTTCTGAACTCTTTCGAGTGTTCATTTCCTAGGACAGACAGATTTATAAGCCCATATGCTGTGTGTGTTGAGTTGTACATGTGAGAAGCTGGAGAGATGGCTCAGCTATTAAGAGCACAGGTTGTTCTTACAGAGGACCTGGGTTCAATTCCCAGCACTCACATGGTAACTAACAACTGTCCATAACTCCAGTTCCAGGGGATTTGACACCCTCTTCTGACCCCTGTGGGCATTGCACACACATGGTGCACTTACATACACATAGGCAATACACTCACACACATAAAATAAAATAAATAAAATATTTTAAAAGAGTTGTAAACATACATACACATGTACAAATCTATATACATATATATCCAAGTACATATGCATTTACTGAAGTACAAACACACACACACACGCGCGCACACACACACACACACACACACACACACACACACACCAAGTGTATAATTTTCTTCAGTATTTTTTGCTATGCTTCTACAGTTTCAAGTTTACTCTTGTATGTGGTCATATTAACAGGCCAGGAAACTTGTGTTTTCTGTTCCCCTCACAGAATAGTTGAAAGGAAAGGGGTACTGACTTTTACGCTAACACACAGGAACTAACGTCCACCAACTTGGGACACTCTGGCTGCTGGACAGACTGCGAATGGGGCATTGCTAGAGGCAGTGACAGGAACAAGCCTGGGAATGAACCGCTTTTTACTTCTAGTTTATTTCCAGCCTCTGAGAGTGAGGGATTTTCAAAGGATCATTTTCTACCAAATCCGTACTGGCTGTTGAAGAATCAGAGCTTTCAGTCTGTTTCTGGGAGCAGGGGCAGCGGGGACACTCCCGGCAGGGGCTGGAATGGTTTGATATTGCGTTCTCTTTTTGCTCCGTCCTGCGGTAGGTGGGCTGGAGCCCTGGCTCAGTTCAAGCAAAAGGTTCTGAACTTATGGGTTTCTGAGCAAACGGACACAGGCAGTTGTTTGAGAAATTACTATTCATCCAAGAGGATCAAGAGAAAATGCAAAGTTCTAAGTGCTTCCCTAGGAAAAGGGCTTGCATGACACAGACGCTTCCAGAAACTTACCTTTGTCCCTTCTTTCCCAGCAACTCCTGGGAGCCCCTGTTCACCAGGTGGCCCTGGAGGCCCAGGGTGGCCGCGCTCACCCATTGGCCCAGTTTCTCCTGTGGGACCCTATGGAGAGAAGCAGTGTTATCACATGTCAGTTTTGAATGATGTGCTCTTTTTCCTGAACGAGGGATAGCCTTCTCTACTTCCTCGTAAGGCTCTTTCAGCCCGCTAAAAACCAGGAGAAAAGATGAAAGCCAGGTGGACGTCGTCAGCTGTGCCTGGCGCCTTTCACCAGCGCCTCTCGGGAGGCTGTCTCCGAGACATGATCAGAAAGAGTAATGCTGAAGAGAGACAGGAGAAGGCCTTGTGGGTTCCGGTTCTGTGCTGACATCGGGTCAGTCTCTTATTTCCTGCTACATTAGGTGTGGCTTTCTAAGCAGCAAGGTGACAGGTGTGTGTGTGGCTGTGGGTGGCAGGTGTCTGTGTGTGGCTGTGAAGCCTTCAGCCCTCCCTGGAATCCATGCCCTTCGCTGCTCTGCCTCGGTTGGGATCAGAGTCCCATGATAGTTGCCAGTGTGGAAGGATCGGGTGACTTCGCTGTCCACAGCAGGATGAGAGGACACCACTGGCCCCTGCTCTGGGAAGAGCCAGACTCCAGAGCCAGGCTCTGTCCAGCCCGAGGTCACCTGTGCCCTGCCACTGGGCCTAGGCTGAGTGCTCCAGAAATCACTCGCTTCTTTCAAGGGGTTCACCTCCTGCAGTGAGCCCACATGCACCATGGCACTTAAGCCTCTCCATTAGCAGGGTCCACCCCCGCCAAATCTGGGAAACACTGACTGTGTGCTACAGTGACATATGGGACTCCAAGCTCCAGAACGCCGCCAGGAGGTCTCACCTGAGGGCCAACCACGCCTGGGGGTCCTGGAGGGCCAGTCTTGCCTTGGAAACCCTGTGGAGAGAGTCAGTGAGGCGAGGGCACTGCAGCAGCCCCCATCGTCCGCTGCAGCCTCCTCAGAGGCCCCCACAGGCTGCCAATGATTGTGTGCCAACTCTCAGTGACAGCTGTGCCTCAAGCTCCCTTGGCATATTAATTTCATGAGAGTCCCGAAGCCAGGCAGGTTAGCTCCACGCTGCGTCATTGTGCTGAGAAACAGATTTTAAGCTTGTTATTCCCCCCTCATGTCACCATGTGCTCATTTTCCAAGGATACGTGAGAGCTACCTCTGAGCTGGTGTTCATTAGCGACTTTGTGGGACTTTCCAGCCTTTGTCATCCATGCCTCCAATACACAGCGGGTGACCCGCCAGTCCACTCGCCTGCGTATTTAGGACAGGCATGAACCAGGCCTGGCTGTTCTCTGAAGCCATTAGCTCAAATGTGCTGTTTTGAACTCATTTTGTGGCCACAATCTCCTCCTGGCTCTGAGCGCTTATGACTAGAAAAGCCCAGGCTCAGCTCCTGCATCGGCTCTCCTTCTCAAATACCCCCGTTGGGCAGGAAGCTGCCACCCAAGGCAAGCTTGACTTGGGGCACGGTGACAGAGCAGAGAGGGCATCAGGAGATGCCACCTGTGGGTGCCAGGTGTACAACGATCTACCGGAGGTCTAACAGATGTGCTTCAGCTGTGCAGATGCCACAGCGAGGACAGGAAAGTGGACAGATGGCTCAGGGCCTCCAGGTGAGTGTCCAGGAACTCACGCAGAACCACAGGCCACACGAACCACAGGACACACGACCCTGCAGACTCCGGAGGGCTGTCCTCGTTCAGCTCAGCTCATGCAGTGGGTAGAAGGGACCACTTCTAAGACACATTTCTCTGACAATCATAAACAAGGGGTGATGGACAGGTCAAGGGGAAGGAAGGAGCTTGGGTGATGCTCTGCTCGTGCCCATGTTAAGGATGAGGCAAGAAAAGTCTCCCCATCAGGTCCACAGCCACTCAGATGAAGAGAATTGGTTTTATGCTCCTTGATGAAAACTGGGCTTTGGGCTCCCATTAAGGAAGGGTACTTACATTTCATTGAAGAAGAAGGAAGAGGAAGAGGAAGAAGAGGATGAAGAGGAGGAGGAGAAAGAGCAGGAAGAAGAAAAAAATTTAAAGTCCACACCCCAGAGAAGACTGTACTTAAGGGGTGTGTGGGCCAGGCCCTGAAGGAGGCTGCCGGGTGGGTCACAGAGATGCCCCACAGCATCATGGAGTGTGCCTGTACGTACAGACGTTGCTGGGCATGGTATAAGTTGCTAGAAGATACACCTTTGCAAGCAAAGACAGGCGGCTTAATTATCTCCAGGACGAAGAAAAGTGCACAGTATGCAAAAACCCTTTGTCTCCTTGGAAAGGCATTAAGCGAAAAATGTGCAAAGCTCCAAAGAAATGCTTTAATTTTTCTCTCTAAACAAAGAGCAAGGTAATCTCCATTTATCAGCCCGCGCGGCTGCTCCAATCCTGGCAGAGGCATAATTAAAAGACTCCTCATTCCCATGTGCTGACTGACAGGGGGTGGGGGTGGGGTCTTAAAAGCAGGCACTAGGGCTATATCAGACCAGGCATTCAAAGGCCCATTTCAGAGGTGGGGGTGGTTTCAGCTGCGAGAGAGGCATCCGGAGACCTTCAGGGGTACAGACACTGGCTACAATGACACAGGAATCTGTGAACCCCCTGAGGGCCCTACTGTGCTCAGTGGGAAGTAAGCACTCCTGTACAAACTGTCCTTCAGTATGGCTGAGGCAGGTCCACACAGAAAGGGAATGCAATATGGTAACGACAATGTCACCAGCACTGTGAGGGTTCAGCAGTTCAGAGCCTGGAACCCCGGGCCACCAAGGTCACAAGCTTGCCCACAGTGTGCCACAAAACATGCCTTCAAGGGCCTGGGAAAGATCCCCAATGGCCAAGCCAGGAAACAATCACATTTCAGCTATAAAATCTCCCCTCCCCCGTATTGTGTGGGTGTGTCTGTGTGTCTGTGTGTGTGTGTACAAGTGTGCACCAGCAGTTCAGAGCCTGGAACCCCGGGCCACCAAGGTCACAAGCTTGCCCACAGTGTGCCACAAAACATGCCTTCAAGGGCCTGGGAAAGATCCCCAATGGCCAAGCCAGGAAACAATCACATTTCAGCTATAAAATCTCCCCCCCCCCGTATTGTGTGGGTGTGTCTGTGTGTGTCTGTGTGTGTGTACAAGTGTGCATGCAGGTATGTAGAAGCCAGAGGTTGACCTCAGATGGCTTCCTCTATCAATCATTCTCCACCGTCTAGGGTCTCTCACTGAACCCAGAGTTCTCTCATTGGCCTAGGGATCCTCCTGTCTTCACCTCCTCAGCACCAGGGTACAGACATGTACCACCATGCATGGCTTTTACGTGGGTGCTGGGGATCAGAACTCAAGTCCTCACATTTACCCACTAGGCACCTTAACCCACTAAGCCATCTCATCCTCCCAGCCCCCTAAAGGATTTTTCTGCCAATGGAAAACAAGAATGATCACGATAGCGATGGCGGAGGTGATCAGAGCAAGCTATCCTCTGCCTGTAAAGACATCAGACACACACACACACACCAGAGTGGACAAAGAAAGGCCATATTTCTGCACACTGCACACCCATTTTTGCCACGGCAAAGGAGGGTAAGGGTACTGTCACCATCCCCTCCAGTAGCCCCCAGTCCAGACACCTCCTGGATGGATGATGCTGGGGTCTGTGTGAGGCCCTGGCCACAGTCTTGGGGTGTTACAGCATGAACAACTAGCCAGCCACAGGTACAGAACCTCCCCAAGTAGTCTTCCAGGTAAGGCCTGTGGAGTTCAACAGGGACTGCATTTACAGTTACTATGGCGAAGTAAAGGTTGGCGGCACAAGGTTTTATTGTGCCGATGGTATTTCATCCTGAAGGCTTTAAACATGACCTTTGACCAAAGCTTCTAAAAGAAGCAAAAAGCCGCCGCCTGGTTTCCATGGTGCCATCCTGGGGTTCCTGCCTACAGGGCTGCTCTGCACCAATACCCCTACAATCTGACCCCAAGCCGATGGCAAATGGCTGGCTTGTAGGAGACCTTGCTGAGGCCATGGGTCTTTCCCAGCTGGGAGGGTCCCCTTAGCTGTGCCAGGCAGCTAGCAGCATGCCACATGCAGGGCTGTGGGAAACCCAGCCAGAGAGGCCAGGCCGAGCCACCACCTCCCCAAGACCAGCAGTACTCACGGTCTCGCCTCTCTGCCCAGGGTGTCCAGGAAGCCCATCCTTGCCTGGAGGACCCTGAAGGAAAACAACAACAACAACAACAACAACAAAAAACAAACAGGAGAGAGGTTTGTTCGGCATCTCAGAGAAGCAGGGAGCAAAATTTCTAGGTCCTTTCTGCCTCTTCTACCCTCAGAACATTCCCCAAGAAAAGTGATTATCATCCCAGAGACAAGGACCTTGAAACTAGGTCCTTGGAGAAGCTTGTCCCCAGGACACTGAGTCCTCACAGCCAGCCCCAAGGGACACACAGCATTACCATCTTTATCTCCCCGAGGGTAAACAGAGGTAGGGGAGGTCAGTGAGCTCCCCAGAGTGGAGCAGGTGGGAGGCCCCGTTAGCACTGGGACCCACATCTGTTTAGCTTGACAAACTCTTCTTGACCACCGCCCCATGTCACCCTGACAGGTGGCAATCTCCACTGCCCAGTAGTTTTCTTGTGTTAGACAGGGACTGGAAGGAAGGCATCGTGGCTGTCACAAGTGATGCACATCCTCCCAAAAACTACATCCAAGTCTCACTTGCTATATCTGTGACCTCACTTTGAAATGGTCTTTGCAGTGTATATTAGGGATAGTGGGGGGGGGTGAGCTTAACCCAGTCATTGTGATCTTACCAAAGAGGGGTGAGGCCCCGGGAGACCTCTTGAGAGAGGAAACCTCATGAAAACGGAGGTCAGGGTGTTGTGGCTACGGCCCAGCTACCCGAGGAGGAGTGTCTGGCTGGACCTTCCCTTGCATGGACATTCCCTGACGTGCACTGTCCCCTGGTGTGGACTATCTCTGTCTTCAGCTCTCCCCTACTGTGGGCCCTCCCTTGCTATGATGGGCCTTGTCCTAGATCCTGGCAAGGAGCCAGCCCTGCTCTGGTTTCAGACATGATCCCAGAACTTACAAAAGACCTTATTAAGACACCAGGTTTGTGAACATTTACTGTGGTCACTAGGACTCTAATGCTAGCCCAGTTAGAACATCATGGTCTCAGTGACAGGACCACTGCCCCTGAACTGAACTCTCTCCAGAACAGGGGCCTGTGTATGTAGGCACGGCCACAGACTGTGAATCAGGAGCCTGGCTTGGGGGGTTGTCCCCAACTGTCTACCCAGCAGGTCTGGCGGCCTCCCTCCTCCTCCACACCCTAAGGAGGAGAGGGGAACACTGTCAGGGAAGTCCCACCTGCCAGCCCCGTGGGAGAAGGCACTACTTACCGGGGGGCCCTTGGGTCCAGGGAAGCCTGTGGGTCCTTGGGGTCCATTGGGTCCCTGGAAACAGAGAATGTCCAGTTTGAGGACATGTTTTCTCCCCACTAGTGGCCCCCACTGTCCCCTCACTGTGGCAATGGCTGCTCCAACATTTTCCCCATTTGCCCCAACCCAAGCCACCATTAGAAACAGAAGCCCTAGCTAGGTACTCTGGGGGCCAAGTCACACAGCAACACCCCGGGGTCCCCTAATGCCATATGGGGTCAAAAGCCCAATTTCCTGTGGTCTCAGCCACCTCCAGCGCCCCCAGGTCAGCCCATAGGGTGGGCTGAGGTCTCCCATCCAGGAACAAATCACTCCCGGAAACGAGCCACTTTGAGCCTTAGGGAGCCCCGCTGCTCTGCAGGGCATGACCTACTCCCAGACTGGCCCACCCAGGGGAAAGTGCTTGGGATGTTTGGGGGCCCTTTGCCTCCCTGTGGAGAGGTTCCCACAGCCCAGTCTAGGAAGACTCTTACCCGCTCACCAGGAGGGCCAGCAGGGCCATCGCCTCCTGAGTTGCCCTGGCAGAGGGAGGAAAGCTTACTGTGAACCTCTAACAGGCCTCAGCCAGGTCCCCTCCAATGCCTGTCCACGTGTCTCCTCAAAGTCACCCTGCCTGCAGCACAGGGTGTAGCACAGCAGCTCTGAGCCCCAGCTCCACACTAGCCTGTCCTCTTGCCTCTATGGACCCCTGACATCGAGCTGGCATTCGCAGACTGGTGACATTTCCAGAACAGTCCCTGTGACTAGTCAGAACAGGCTGTGCTCAGCCGAGGAACACATCGAAATCACTTACTAGAGAGAACATGAGGATATAGTTCAGGACCACCCCACAGGCCTTGTGGCTCTGGGAGGCTGCTTCCCAGTGGGGTGGGGGTGGGGGTGGCAGACACTCCTGGTTCTCACTGGTTGGGATCTGACATCATGTCACACCGGACCTTCCCCCTAGATCTGTCGCATATGGAGCCGGCTTCTCTTCTACACACATCGCAATGAACTTTCTAATGAAGAACTCTAGCTCCTAACCACCTTTTATTTATTTATTTATTTTTAATGTATGTGAGTGTATCGCCTGCATGTATGTGAGTGCATCCATGTCGTGCAATGTTGTGGAGGTCAGAAGATGGTTTCAGATTCCCCTGGAACTGGAGTTAAGGACGGTTCACAGCCACCATGTGGGTGCTGGGAATTGAGCCCAGGTTCTCTGTGAGAGCAGTCAGTGCTCTTAACCGCTGAGCCATCTCTCCAGCCCGCTCCTAACCATTTTTACCAGAGAAAGAAGGGGCCTACCCACCAGACCTGGGTAGGTCTGTGCTAGGCCTATCCTGGAAACTGAGCTCCATGTGTGAGGGCCGTCTTGCCTGTCTGCCTCAGGTCCCATGAGGGTCATCCTTAGCCATGTGGTCCAAGTCACAAAGCTTGATGAAGGCTGCGAGAGGGCAGGGCCCTCATTAATGATGTCCAAGAAGAGTGTCCTTTGTCACACGAAAAGGCCACAGGCCACCCTCAGATGCTCCATTCTTTACAACATGAAGCTCCAGTTCTTAGACCTAGGAACGTACCTTAGGGCCAGGCTTCCCTGTGATGCCCCGTGGGCCTCTTTCACCCCTTGGACCCTGGACAGAGAGAAGGAAGGTCAGTCAGCCCAGAGGCCAGACTCACAGAGCCCACCAGCCCACCTTGCACATGCTCCATCATCAGCGTAGCCCTCAAGGAAGATTACCGTTGGACCTCGCTGTCCCCGCGGTCCAGGTTTCCCAGGTGTTCCCTAGAAGCAGAAAGGGGTGTCAGTCTCACTGGGCATGTGCGGTCCTGCTCAGGAGGCTGCACTCCCAGAGTTGCTCTGAGAACCCAGAGACCAAGACGAGCCTAACTAGGGGTGAATGAAAGAGTGTGAGAAGAAAGCACACTGATGGGTGTCTGCTGCCTCCCTCCCCCTCCTGCCCTCCTGCTTCCCTCTCCCCCCACCCCCTCAGCAGAGGTGGAGATCATTACAAGAACAGAGACGAGAGTCAACTCCTATCACATATAATTTTCTTTTGCTACTGTTAAGAATATTAGGCATTAAATTTTCAACAGGCTCTGCAGATGCGAAGGGAGCCTGCAATTTAACATATAAATCACATATCCAAGAGTCGTGGGCTTCTCCACAGTTCAATGCTGGTCTGCGTTTTCTGAACCCCGGAAAGCAAATGCAACACATTTGTATTTTTTGCCGAAGCAGGGATATAATGGCCCACAAGTGCAGTTTACCCACAGCACGGGGAGGTAATGGATTGAGCACAGAGGCGCCACAGCTCCACAGCTCATCCTGGTCTACCCTGGTCTCTCCAGATGGAGCCAGGTCAGATCTATAAGTCAAAGCCATGGGATCAGTTTCTTACCCTTTCTAGTCATTCACTACCAGAATCAAAACTGCTTTTGGGTCTCCCATTTTGAATGGCATGTGATAAAACCATTTATAAGGGTGAATTAATTATGCTGCTTTTTAACAATGCACCCTCCTTGAAGCGCTTTAGCTCTGTGACAACATCCTTTGGCTTTAGGTAAATATTTGCAAACAAAAATTATTGAGACATCTGCTGTCTTCCGATGCTAAGTGTGTGCCCTTGTGAACACTGACTAGCTCTGATTCCTATAGGTGTGTGAGGCCAGGCCTGCCTGCCAACACCTCTCTGCCTCCCACCTTTAACACTTCCTCAGATCCCAACTCAGATCCAACCTTGCCTTACGCCTGGCTCCCAGGTGCAGCCTACCCTCATGGTGCCTTGGCAAGAGGCAAATGGATCTCGGCCGATTCCATTTGAGCCCCAGGGCGGCATGGTGCTCAGCAGGGTGTGTGGTAATCTAACTCTCACTAGAGCTGTATCTGGTGACTAAAGTGGCCAAGCAGAGTGCCTCCAAGGCTCCCTCACAAATTGCTGGGATGCACTTGACCCCTGGTCCCTGTCAGGAAGGAATGGGAAGTCCCCAAAATGGTTCTACCCATGCCCTCTATTGGAGCCCAGAGCCAAGCTGAAGTCTGAAGAGCCTTATGTTTGCTGAAAACTCAGGAGAGCATTCCTCTCCTGGGGCCCCTCCAAGGGCTAGCAGGCTCATGACAGGACATCCCTCTGCTTGCATCAAGGTCTGCCCTGGGCTGCAGCTGGTTCAATGGTATAGTGCTTGCTTCTGAAGGCTTCCTCCTACCACGAGTCACAGAAGCAAGCCTCTGGCTCTGCAGAAGGCAGGACTCAGGGAACAGAGGGCCGGATGCATAGGTAACACCTGGGTGCGTATCAGACACAACACACGTCATGGGTCCTGCCTGGCATCCCTGCACTAGAGACAGCTGGTTGACCAGAATATCTTCAAGGAGAGTGAAATAGGCCTCTAGGTGCCGGCACAGACCTGCACCCTTCACAGCCTTTATGCCCTTCCTGATCCTACCCAACAGTGGGACCAGAGCTACCTTCAAACATCTCCTCAAGGTCACCCCCCATGACTAAATCCTGAACGCCTTGGAGTAAAGAGCCAACCTAAGGCACTGCAGAGGCAAGACCTCCCCAGTCTCCCCAGCCGAGGCTTCTGAACTGGGCGCAGCTGCACGGGCGTTTGCTCAGCTGTGGCCCTGTTCGGCCTCTGCAGGAACATCACTGTCTCCAAGAAGCACCCCAAGTCTGAGGATTGGACTCTGGTGCCTGTGAACCCTCTTCACCCTTAACCTTCATCATATGCTTATCACCCATGAGTGCTGGGCCCTGGGCACCCCTCATCTGGCTTGGCCACTGGCCACTCCCATCCCTGCCCCTCCCCCCAGCCTGTAGAGCTCTGGGCTTAGCGAGGACTTGGGAAATGTGAGCTATGTATGTGAATGAACTGTCTCTCGTGAAGCCTCCCGTGACTATGAGGATGAGGTTCACAGGCCAAGGACAAAATGACAACACAACCAAAGCTTGGAGGTCAATGTTAGCTCAGGAGATGAGCTCGTGCCTGAAGTTTCAGGGCTATTTGCAGGCCAGCCCTGCTTCTGGACTCCTTGGACAGCTGGGAAAGCCAGCCCCACCTGATGGCCTGAGGACATTCTCTCTTGGGCTGCAACTTAATACAAAGCAACAATCCATCACCCAAGCAGCAGACATCCCCTTAGTGATGACCCCACAGACGGTTCCCTCCCATGATGGCTGCACTCTGTCTCCTGGAGAGGAGGCGCCAACTTGCAGAGACCCCGCCCAGTGGATCAACACCATTGCCCTGTGCTGGGAGGAAATGAACGGCCTCAGGACCTTGGCTTGGAATCTACCATGAGTCAGGGCTTGGAGCCTCCCCGGGTTGAGAGGGGAGGGGCTCCCATCTGTGGTTGGGGTATCAGGGATGACAGGTGCCTAGCAGGTTTTAGTGAGTCATGCTTTGCGCTTGGTCTGGTAAGCCTGATGACACCCCAAGTAACACCCAGCAGGGGCCAGTGGGTGTGCAGAGCACCTGCCCGAACTCAGACCCAGGGGAGGTGGCAGATCACACCAGAGAGAAAGAAAACACCTTTCCTTTTCCTGTAGGCAGGAGACTGTCTCAGAGGGAGGAGAACCTGGCTTCCGCGAACTACCCAAGAGCTTCCTGGCTCACGTTCAGCAGAAAGCTCGATTCTTCCCAGAATGCTCTTCTCCCCTCATGGCTGACCCTTTTTTTCCCACAGTGTTCCAGCCTTGAAAGCTAAAAGCCCAGAGCTCAAGATCAACAGTTCCGAAAAAGTCGGTTTGGCAACAAGATAGAAAGAAATCAGCAAGCCATTGACTGGACAGCCGCCTCCCGCCGCCGCAAGCCAGGGCGCCGAGCAACCTCCAGCCAGGGCCCCCGTCCTTACTCTGCCGCCCTTCTCTCCGTTGGCACCGGGGAAGCCAGGGAATCCGATAGAGCCCTGAAAGAGAAATGAGGGAGGAGGAAGGAGATCCGCCAGGCCAGGAGCATGGGTCACGCTGTCACGCCTACAAGGGGAGTCTGTGACACAGTTCACAGCTCTGGTACCTCCTTGCCAGCCCACCCACACAGTCTCCCATCTACCCACCCACACCTGCATACCCACCTACCCTCCACCCACTCACCTCTCCCTATGTTTTCCCATTTGTCTACCTAACCACCCACTTGCCCACTTGCCCACACAACACCCATCTACTCCACTCTATAAACATTTCCTGCGCATTCCTGAAGCTCCTAATCTAGAATCCAAAACCAAGTCTTGGAGTGCTCCAAGCCCCCACGTGGAGCCTGTGTAGTGCTGGCTGGTGCTCTGGGGGAGGGGGAGGGAACATAACCTCTGGGATTCCCTGACAGGGCTTGTGCCTCACAGTTCTGTTCAGTGGGTCTGGTGTCATACTTTGTGATCTTCCCATAAGGCTGCTAACTAAAGTGTTGACAGTTTGCAAAGTCAGAAAGGGATACAAATCCAGGCACGGACTACAGTTAGTTATATCTAACCACTTTCAACTCTACAAACGGACTTCAGGGCTTTGATCTGCCAAATGTCCAGACTCTCCGATGTGCAGAAAGATACCATGAAAGGTTCCCCAAGACATAAGTAGTGGGTGCCATCTACGGCCCTCTGGGTCTTTCCTCTCCGGGTGGTTTAATGTCCTGACCTGAGCACATGCCTACTCTAGGAACTTTGTGCATTTCCAGGCTTTGTACTCCTACCAGGAGAGAGCTCTGCCGACCCTCCCCTATGTCCACCTGCCCACCTGCCCACTCAGGCAGGAGGCTAGACCAAGGAGATCCAGGGGTGGGTGATGCAGAGCCTCAGGTCACAGTGGGTGACGGCCTATTACCGCCATGGCCCAAGGACACAGTTTGAGAGTCCTGCCTTCTCCTTCCCTGAAAGCTGCCTGCACTTAAGTCATACCCCACCCTCTCCTGTGCCCAGCAGCCCAACCCCAACACTCTGTGGATAGCTTGGCAGTCATGCTGGAGTCACATCTAAGGTGCCACTGCTGGTCCGTAAGTGGGACCCTTGCAGCTCCTGAAGGCTGAGTGTACGTCCACACAGAGTGCACAGGCTGAGTAGGACGCTGCTTACCCATGTAGCCCATCCTCCTGGGGCCAGCAGGCTCAGCCTCCCGTGATGGTGGTGAAGACATGCTAACCAGACCTCCAGTGTAGACAGAGGTTATTGTTTAAAGGTAAATCATGAATATTAAAAAGTGAGAAGAGAAGGAAATACCGTTCTCACTGATTTCTAAAGCCTTCAGGAGCTATTTCACTTAAACTTGAAAATGGCTGAAGAAACATCCAAAGTAAGTAAGGCAGGGCCACGCAGAGGCGGGTTTGGACAAGCCAGTGGGCAAAGGCCCCCACAGGCCACCGGGCACCTACGCGGCCCGCAACCTGGGTAGCTTCTGCCCATTTTCTCTTGCTTACTTTGAACTCGGCCAAATGAACGTGAAAGGGTTCACCTGGAGAATGTAGGCCACAGGAGCCACGCTGGGGTAAAGAATGGATGAGGGTGTGGGGAGTGGACAGGGCACCATGTGGCACCCTGCACCATCTGCCGGGACACCCAGCAGGGTTTGCATTACCTTTGGCCCTTGTCTTCCTGGGTACCCTGGTAATCCTGGCACTCCGAGTTTTCCCTGGGAGGAGAAAAAAGATTCATGAATGGTGAGAAAAGTTTTCTCACTCTCTGAGCAGGGAACTGGCATGTTAAGAGAGGGAGCAGCAGGGTGGGTCCAAAGGCAAAGGGCAGGGTCTTGGTGGAGAGGCCTTGGCTGTCTTCTAGAACTGAGTGAGTCTCTAAGCCATCAGGAAGTAAGATGTGATTTACCAGAGCTGCCTGGAAAACCAAGACCCTGAGAGAAGGGACAGGTTTGTGTCCTTCAGAAGCCCACAGGGGCAACTGCCCCGTGTGAATGCTCTTACCTGTGGGGGTTCTGAACCCTAAGAGCTCTGGCCATAAGGCCAGATGGAGCGGGAGGTTTAAGTACTCCTTGTGTCCCATTCTCCCTGGCTACTGGGGACAAGATGTGGCAGGGTGGTGCTGCTGGTACAGGGCCACCTCCTGGAGCCCCACATATATGCCACCCTTTCAGGCCGTTGTAAGGACACAGTCACCCCCAAGGTGGAGACAGGATTTGACAGAGATGGGTGCTCACGTATAGCTGGTGAGGTCTCCAAGTTTTGCAGATACCTGGAGGAAAGATGTTCCTCCATGCTGTGGCTGGGAGCTCAGAGGGGAAGGAGACTTGGGGCAGGAAAAAGACTAAAAGCACCCATCTGTCCACACACATATCTACCAGGGGTGGCAAGAGGCTGGGGAGGAAAGACAGGCCATTTGGAAGTCCCATTCCCCATGCCAGGCACAGGCTCAGACAAAGCCAGGAATGGACTTCAGAGCCCTCCAAGCACAGTGGGGCATCGGCATCACCAACCTTCTCCCCGGTGGGCCCCAGGGGTCCAGGATCGCCGTTGGGACCACCTCGGCCCTTTGGGCCTTCAGGACCATCCTCTCCTCGGGGACCAGGTGGGCCTATCTCCCCCTGCAATTAAAAAAGAGGAGGTGAGGGAAGAGCCCCCAGTCTCCACCCCCAACCGACAGCTCCCACCACCATCCTGGGAGAGGGATGCATTGAAAGCTAGCTGTGACAGCCTAGGCTACTCAGCCTTTCTCTGCAGACCAGGGGCAAATCAGAGGCACTGGGGGGACTGCCATCATGCCTCTGTCCCTCTGTACGACTGCCACTGCAGCTGCCAGCTCTGTTTCCTGCCCCCCTTGACCAGTCAAGAGATTCTTGACTAAAACAGCTGGTTAACGGTAGTGGCTCTGAATTGCTCTGCTCCTGTATTGGTCAGGGGTTCCCTAGAAGGACAGTAATCATTCCAGAAAATGCCCTGAAAATCGACCCACAGGCATATCTCTTAGCCGACGCTAGATTCAACCATCACAAGTCAAATCCACCTTCTTCTGATGCTCCAGAAGGCATCAAGATGGACCTTATCCTGCCTGGGCAATAACCTGGCCATGACCCACACCCAGGGGCCCCAGAGTGCAAAGGAACGAATGGCCCACTAAATCCAGAGGCAAGGATGGACTCAGACCCATCCAGGCCAGAGAAGGGCCAGCTCTGAACAGCCACCCTGGAGCTCTTGGTGACCTATGCACAAGTTCTCATCAGATTACCTGCTTCTAAGAGCTGCTGCAGACAGCTGGAAGACCCCACAAAACCGTGCACTGCTCACATAGAGATCGACAACTGCCGAGCTCTTGAGCTCCAATTTACCCACGATTGATAAAGTCCCTGCCCAAGAAATGTTGTCATTCACCCCACTGATCCCTCAGGTACTCATGAGCTGAGCACCTACAGGAGGCCCAGCACAAGGCTCTGCCTGCAAAGCAAATCCACAACTCCTACTTGCCCATCTCACCTTCATCCTGCTGCAACCAGAGCTGCGTTCCCAAGGATCTGGGAATATCTTTATATGAGCCTCTCTCTAACTCTCCTCTCCTCTCTTCATCTTCCTCCCTTCCTCCTTCTCGCTCTCTCTCTCTCTCTCTCTCTCTCCCCCTCCCTTCCTCCCTCCCTCCCTCCCTCCCTCCCTCCTTCTTTTTCAGGTCTATCTCTATACATCAACCTGACTAGAAACTCATAACATCCTCCTGCCTCTGCCTCTCAAGAGCTAGGGGCACAGGCACACAGCACCATGCCTGTGGCCTGCTTAGGTGGACTCCAACTGTGTATACTGGGTCATCAGAGAGAAGGGGTCAGAGGGCTTTCACTGTTGAACTAGAGCAGCCTCCCAACCAGACACACTGAGGACCCTTTCCTTGGAGGGAGGTTGAGAGTGGCCACCTTCAGGAGTGGCACAACAGAATGTCACTGTGAGACAAACCCCTCTTTTACTGTCCTCTGACAGCCATGCAGGTGGCCTCTGCCGGTTCCCTGCCAGGTTGGGGCAAACCGTGTAACATATGGGTGCTGTCGTTCTGGCATGTTCTGCAAAGGCGCCTTCAGGGCCTGCTTTGCAGGGGGTGATTACAGTAATGGATGACAGGCCCGAGTTATCCGACAGACAACCAGGTGTGTGCACAGCTGGACTGCCCGGAGTGCAGCTCCTTCCCTTCTGTCAGGCTCTGACTCGTTTTGAAGTTGTGGGGAAACTTCTCGGCAGCAGCTCTATGGACCACCACTCAGGCCCCCAGTGCCACTGTTAGCACCCTGTCCTCTGTGCGTCCGTGAGGCCTGGGTGTTATGTTGGGTGTGCTGGGCACCCCTCAACCTGGCAAGCTGGAGCTGGGATGAGCGACCCATCAGGGATCAACCAGGCTGTGGGGCTTCACCCACAGCACAGGGTCACACTGCAGCGCGGTGGGGCTGCATGAGCTCCAAGAGTGATGTGGGTGCAGCGTGGGAACCAGGATGGTGCAGGATATCTCAGTAGGGACTGAAAACCATCAAAAGGGCATAGTCCTACCAGCCACTGGCTACAGCCTGGACAGGGGTCTGTTTGTGGGTCAGACTGGAAGGTTCTCTCCCCTCCCCTTCTTCTCTTTCTCTTCCCAGGGTCCCTCCTCATCCTCTGGAGTCAAACAAATTTCTCTGTGGTCTAGTGTCACTGGTCCTCACTAAGCCACCCATACAGTACCCAGTGTGGGGACCACTGACCACAGCTGTCCTCGGGGTTAACACAGGTGAGAGTTGTCCTTGCTTTGGTACCAGCAGGGGAGCTAGAAGTCACTGCACAGGGCCTCTGGCCTCCATACACTCTGTCCTCAGACCCAAGACTCTGCAGATCTGTCACCTCCCTTCTGAGAAGCTGCTCCGTGGCTCCAAGCACCCTGGTCTGCCGCCTAGGTTCCCCAAGCCTCCTGTGCTTATCCCTAGCCTAAATCCCAGGCCTGAAACACTCACCCGGTCACCCTTGACTCCCATGTCGCCTTTAAACCCAGGGAAGCCGTCTTCACCCTGAGCGTGAACAAGAGAATGCGTTGTTCTGGAGAGAAGAACTCACTTCCATGTCATGACTTCCCACTGCGTGATGGGCTCGAACAGTGTGGAGGCCCCAGCCCAGCGGGAGCACGGCACAAGGCGGAGCCCACATGTGTGCACTCAGAGGCACACTGACACCCCGGTGCCTCTCATCCAACTCCAAGGCCCAGCCCACACCAGAGCCACAGGTCCCCAGACTGCCCCCTCTCTCCCAGAATCATCTTAATCTGCCTTCTAGGGCCCTCTGGAACAGGCCAGGAGCTGTCCTGGTGAGATAATGTCCCCTGCATAACTCAGTGGTGTCTTCACAAGCAGCTCTGTCCAGTGGAGACAAATGAGACGAGATTAAAAAGTGGTGGAGCTGGGACTCTGGAAACCGCTTTCAAAAGGGTCAACGATGCCTCAGCAATGGCCTTGCGGGGGTAGGGATACAACTAGCCCTAAGATGACTTCTTGCCCTAAACTCCTATGGGGTCCACACAGAAAGCAACACCCTTGACTGACGTGCTCGGCAGACACCTATTCTACCCCGACGCTACAGAGCGAGGCCAGGGCTCTGTCCCGCAGAGGTACTCCAGAAGGAACAGAGAATGAAAGCTTTCTCTGCCTGTTCTCTTGCCCCCTCCCACCTCCGCAAGCAAAGCCAGAGCCAGGTGGTTATCAAACACCCAGGTACAAGGTGGCCTGCACAGGCACTGGGCCATTCCCACCCATGGCCCTTGAAGGGGCCTTTGGAGAATGGATTTCTAGATAGCAAATTCCACTGGAAAGGACGCAAAAAGGTTGTCCAGTGAGTTGTCTGAGCAGTAGCATGCATACCTCATGAGCACAAGGCTCAGCCCAGGCGCAGCAGGCCCTGCAGTGTCCCAGGGAGCTCCACGGTCTGCCACAAAACGCAACCGTGCCCACTGGCCATGGCAGGGTAGCAAGGGACATGCCAAACAAGATGGAGGTCAAGAAGGGCAGCCTGCCAGGGTGATGCAGTCCACATCGAAGGACATGCCAGACTGACCTCAGAGGTGGCTCTGAGCCTCCTTCCACCAAACAGAAAGGATGGAAGTGGGCAGCTGCACAGTTCCATGGGGCTCAGGGTGTCTCAGCGGCTGGGTACAGTGAGCATCCCGGCTCTACGGCATTCAGAGTGCCATAGTTTAGTTTTGCATTAACTAAAATGATTCGTAGGGTCCCAATATGCAGCCTTGACCAAAGGGCAAGTGATGCTGTGATCTGAAATGTGGCTTGGATGTAACTGCGCACAGTCATGGAACTGGATATGACCTTGCACCTGGTCCTGGTTATGAGTGCTAATCATGGACCACAAAACTGGCCTGGCTAGACTCTGTTCAGGGAATAACACTGACAACCAATGACCACAAAGACCTACTGGCTGCTGCCAGTGAGGGACCCATGAGGAGGGGCTAGGGGTCCATATGTGACTAGGACTGTATGGCTTTACTAGCGCAGATGCTCTGGGTCAGGCCAAGAGACACTCCAAAGCACCCGATGACTCCGATGTCCCCAAGAGCTCCTTTTGCAAACAAGGAAGCAGCTTCTCACAGGCTGTCATCAAGTACCCCCTCGATTCAGAGGGACGCCCCCATCATGACCTAGGCTGAGCCCGCCAACCGTAAAGGGGAAGGACACTCACCTTCTCCCCCTTGGTACCCTTCAGACCTCGGATGCCATCTGCCCCCTGTGGAGGCAGAAAAGAGAGAAAAGATCACAAACACGAACCGAACCGCTGCAGAGCCTTGCACGGATGGCCAAGGCCCAGGGGTCAAGAAGGGAGTGGCCCAGGGGGTGTCTGAGAGCCTCTGATGATCCCTTACCCCATCCATCCCCCACCTTAGGAGTGAGAGGCATTTCCAGTCCCCATGCTGACTGAATGAGGCTCATGTGAGACCCAGGACAGCCCTCATTCTATCACTGGCCTCTGACTCTTCTATGCAAAAATCCAGACCTCTTCCTGGTTAATTACCCAGAAAATCTGCATTGGCCCTTCCAAGGAGCCACTCCCCCTCCGCCCC